GAGACGGGGTTTCACCATGTTGACCAGGATGGTCTCGATCTCTTGACCTCGTGATCCACCCACCTCGGCCTCCCAAAGTGCTGGGATTATAGGTGTGAGCCACCACACCCGGCCCAGACTTTTAAATAAAGACCAAAAACAGGCTGGGCGTGGTGGCTCATGTCTGTAATCTCAACACTTTGAGAGGCCAAGGTGGGTGCATCACTTGAGGTCAGGAGTTCGAGACCAGCCTGGCCAACATGGCAAAACCTCGTCTCTACTAAAAATACAAAACTGAGCTGGTCATGGTGGTAGACACCTATAATCCCAGCTACTCAGGAGGCTGAGGCAGGAGAATCACTTGAACCTGGTAGGCAGAGGTTGCAGTGAGTCAAGATCGTGCCACTGCACTCCAGCTTAAGTGACAGAGCGAGACTCCGTCTCATAAACAAACAAACATGAGCTATACATTTAAGAAAGATTAATAAAAGCAACATAATTATTTATCCAGTTTTTGCTGAATCAGTGCGTGGTGGTGGTCATAGTGGTGGCGGATTAAGTCAAGAAGTTTATATTTGCAAAGCAAAGATTATAAGGAACACTCCTGTCATAAAGCTCAACAACAACAAATACAGCAGGCTCACTGGGTGCTTTTGTACAACATTGTTTATTTTGATACATTTGTATAATTATTGTATACTACTTTATGAATTTTTATTTTACCATAATTCATATTCATTTTCCAAGCCACTTACTTCAGTTCAGGGTCCCAGGTGCCCAGAGCCTATCCCAGCAGCTCAGGTGCAAGGTGGGAACCCCCACTGGACAGAATGCCATTCCATCATTGGGCACACTTATCCACACCCACACTCACACTAGGACCGTTCACACATGCCAGTTCACCTAACATGCACATCTTTGAGATGTAAGAGGAAACCAAAGTATCTGGAGAAGACCCATGCAGACCTGGGGAGAACATGCAAATTCCATGTGAACAGTGGCCACAGCTGGGAACTAAGCTCATTGTCATGACGAAATATGTTATTGGTGGACCTGCTGTATACACAGTAAGTTTGGTAACTCTCAGATACATTAGGCTAACAGAAGTTGGACTCAGAAGGCGACATACTATATGACCCCATTTATGTGGCATTCTAGAAATGGCGAAACTAGGGACAGAGAACATAAGCGTGATTTCAGGAGGCTGAGGAAGCCTGGGGGAACTTGACTACAAAGGGACAGCATGGCAGAATTTTGGGGGTGATGGAACTGTTCTGTGTCCTAATTGCAGTGGTAGTTATGCCTCAGAACTGAACACCTCCAAAAAGGAGAATTTTACTGTATTGAAGTTTTAAAATTCTAAAAAAAGCTAAGGAAAAAAATCTTGCCTTTCCAAACATGGGTGATAAAGCTGGGGGAGCTGGAACAGTGGTGAGGTATTGACACCTGGTGTTTTTTCTTTTGGTTGTAGGTTATTTACCTTGCCTGCTCCTATGCCACAGTGTACCTGATCTACCTGAAATTTAAGGCAACCTACGATGGAAATCACGATACCTTTCGAGTGGAATTTCTGGTGGTCCCTGTGGGAGGCCTCTCGTTTCTAGTCAATCATGATTTCTCTCCACTTGAGGTCAGTTTAAGAGGTTATTTAGGGCTGAGCGCGGTGGTTCACGCCTGTAATCCCAGCACTTTGGGAGGTCAAGGTGGGCGGATCATAAGGTCAGGAGTTTGAGACCAGCCTGGCCAACATGACAAAACCCTGTCTCTACTAAAAATACAAAAAATTAGGCAGGTGTGGTGGTGCACACCTGTAATCCCAGCTACTTGGGTGGCTGAGGCAGGAGAATCGCTTGAACCCAGGAGGTGGAGGTTTCAGTGAGCTGAGATCACACCATTGCACTCCAGTCTGGGTGACAGAGTAAGACTCCATCTTGAGAGGGAAAAAAAAAAAAGGTTATTTAGGGCCGGGTGTGGTGGTTCATGCCTATAATCCCAACATTTTGGGAGGCCAAGGTGTGCAGATCACTTGAGGTCAGAGGTTCATGCATTCAGCCTGGCCAACATGGTGAAACTCTGTTTCTATTAAAAATACAAAAGTTAGCCAGTCATGGTGGCACACACCTGTAACCCCAGCTACTCAAGAGGCTGAGGCACGGGAATCACTTAAATCCAGGGGGTAGAGGTTGCAGTGAGCTGAGATTGAGCCACTGCACTCCAGCCTTGGTGGCAGAGCAAGACTCCATCCAAAAAAAAGTTACTTAGTGGTCATATCTGGTTATCTAGGTGAATGGATCTGTTTTCATGTTGGCAGATCATGTAGGTATTCATGGTTTTTTTTTTTTATTTTTTATTTTCTGGTTTGGCAAACTCCAGTACAGTGTTCATGACTGGTATAAAAAATTATAGATGAGGCTGGGCATGGTGGCTCATGCCTGTAATCCAAGCACTTTGGAGGTCAGGGCAGGCAGATCACCTGAGGTCGGGAGTTCAAGACCAGCCTGACCAACATGGTGAAACCCTATCTTAAAAAAAAAAAAAATTATCTCAAAAAAAAAAAAAAAATTGTAGAAGAAAATTAAGCACCCACATATTTGGTTGTCTGCTGACAGTTTACTGTCTGATTCCTTTGAAATAGAAACTTGAAACTGTATTTTGTTATCTTGACTTCTGTGGTACCAGACACAGAGCCCTGCCTGTCCCAGTGTTGGAAGAACGTGGTCTCCCTCCTGTAGCCCACATTTTGTTTCCTTTGCATGTATAGATGTGGATTGATGTCATGTCTGTGACCCTGTTTAGCAGCACTCTGCACCCCTTTCCTTTAGGAAAGGTGGTTTGTGGTACCCCTGGCACTGTGCAGTGCGCTGATCTGCTCCCAAGTACCTCTTCCTTCACCACTGAACAGGCAAACGGTGCTGCTCCACATCCTGGGGCCAATCAAGTCACTGTGCTGTCCTTTTTTTTTTTT